CCGACTTTCCGCCGATCCCCTCGTGTCCCCGTTCCCACCACTTCTTACCTCCGCACGATATCCCCGCACCCTCGATTTCCCCCTTCACGGCTGCTCCCCCCTGCCCCAACCCGCCCTCCAAGTTCACTTTTTATTGCAGATTCGAGGTCCTCCAGGGTAGCGCAGCACAGCCCCGCCTTCCCAAAAAAAAAAATAAAAAAATCCTTGCTTGGTTTTTGCGTTGCCCGGTTTCGCCGGGCGGACCCTATTTGGAGTAGCTTTCAGAGTTCGCCAAATTCTTCTCCGAGTTCGGTGTTTTTGCCAACTTTGTTGTTACTGGTCCAAGTATGTCGAAACTGAATACCGATATACCCTAAAGCACATACATATCACACAAAAAGAAAAAAGTTCAAAAAACGAGAAAAAAAGCAAAAATTCAGGGAAATATGGCAGTTTTGGTGAAAAACATACGCCGAAAATGACACTACCTATTTAACCATTAGTGCCCATGATGGGTTGTTGACAAACTGGTGGTTTAAGAGTCTCAGCGGTGGTTAACCGTGTGCTGGGGTTCATCTAGATAAACAGAAAATACTAAAAAGTTCAAAGAAAATTTGGGAAGGCCTTTGCACTTTTGCTTTTTTCCGTGTGTGGGCACAAAGTATGGCATCAGAGTTTCCATAAATTGTTTACTGAATCTGAAAGTGATCTTAACCTCCCGCTGAGACTCTCATCATAGCTTTCAAGTGTATGGAGTCGCTAGTGGAGTGGCCTTATTACCGCCTTAAACAGATACTTTTAATGCTCAAGCCTTAGCCTTTGCATACATTTCGCTTTCTATATGAGCTCCCCAATTTGAATGTGATGATTGCAGGCATGGGAAGAAAAGCTCAAGAAAGTGGAAATGGAGAAGATTGATCTGTCGCAACAACTTCAGGTGAGAAAATCATGACATGGGATTAAATTTATCTTTCCGCCATTTTTTTCCCACTATTGATTAATGCCAAGCCACATGTTGACTTTAGCTTGAAAGGCCAGATGAAGTTTATTGAACTATATGCAGTCCTCAGACTCTTCACACATACAGCTGGATGCTACCATCTTAACCCCATCAAAATGCAATGTCATTGTCGTTGTACCTAGACTGAAAGTTGCCCTGAATACAGCTATAATGACCGTGTGTTCGGGAGGAAGGTAGGTGACTGCAGTAAGACAACAAACATAGCAATATGGACATGAATACACCCCAATGAGAGGATTCATTTACTACAGCAACAAATGCCAGAATGAACAATCTAGTGATCTACCTTATTCCTGTAAACACAACTCTCTATGACCATGATGTTGTTTGCCCAGGATAGAAACCTGCGTACATTCATCATGATAGGGAGTTATGTTTGGGGAAATAAGTTGGGGAAACTTCAGGCCTTAGCGGAACAGGTCGCCATAACCATTCATGCCCACAATGGTTCGAATCCGACCTTAGCCTACTTACTCAGCAAGTTGACCAAGTTGCCTGAGTTTCGTAAGAGATTGATGTTGCCTGTTTAGAAGTTGACCAAGTTTGCTCTAACCAACCAAGCTACCTAAACAAAAACAAAATCAAACTAAGATTCACTTCTGTGCAACGTCAGAAGATGCATACAAGAGGAATCTGAAGCTGACAAAGAGTCAAAGCCCCTCATTCTTGCCACCTTACTCCAACCTCCTCCTTACTCACTCCAGGTCTGAACAATCTTACGATAGTGCTGTGTAAGCGGCCCGGATAACGCGTCCGCCTCAGATAAACTACCCACCATGCCAGTAGAAGATAAACTCCGGTCTGCCTTGAAAAAGGTAGCAACGTAGCAAGTAGCTAGAAGTAGAACCAAATTTAGCGGATAACATGAACGCGCACTGTTGATGGTGTTACCTGGACGGGTAGCATTGCTCTCTATGACCACTATATGGAGACACTGCTCATTCTTGCCCCAACTGTCTGCACACCATCATAGCCATTAGCCAGAATATGGCATGCTGATCTCTATGGCTATGGGAGAATCTTCCTATCAGTAGCACATATTCTGTGCATAAGACGCATCAAAGAGTAAGCGTACTACCCCCTCAGCACTCAGATTTTCGTTGGAAAAATGTGGCCAGCATGTGGGACTCTCCTGCATCAGGGTTGAAATCTGGCATAATGTTGCCTGCATAAGACGCATCAGGGAGTAATCGTACTACCCCCTCAGCACTCAGATTTTCATTGGAAAAATGTCGCCAGCATATGGGACTCTCCTGCATCAGGGTTGAAATCTTCCATTATGTTGCCTGCAGGTAAGTTGGACTCTGCTCTGCAGACCTCAATTGCCTGTCCTCAAGCACTCCTCTGCTTGCGTACCTCTAGCTCTAGTCTGCAGAAGCCTATCACCTACCAAGCCAACTACTCGAATTCTCTCCATCCTCACTAGGCCTGGCTCGGCTCTGTAAATAGTTCTGGGCTGAACTACCTCCTGCCCAGTTCCCATTCAGGACCGTACAGATCCACTTGCGGTCTGTGGTTCAGAACGGAGGGGCATGTGTGTCTGGGTCTGGGCAGACTGGCCGCATGACTCAGCAGCTTGCTCTGGATCGGGTCAAAAGTCTCCAGGATTGGATGAAATGTTCTATGTGCCAAGGAACTCTGCAAGTAGGCACTCAGGACAAAGATAGCTCCAGTTTTAATTGCAGCCAAAAATCCCTTGGGGACCACCTCGGTCATCTACTGAGTGTGTGCTTTCAACAGGTACGCCTCTGGAAAAGATGCACTAGGACAAAAAGCGTGCCTGCCCGTATACGGACAGAACTGAGAAAGACATGGTCTCTGTAAACTACTAAAATATTCGTAAAAGTGATCAAACAAGGTAATTGTTACGATCCTGCCGAATTTCGAAGTGCAAAATCACGAGAACGCACAATGTCGTCCAGTTCCAAAAAGAAATGAATGAACTCTTTAGAGGAGGGAGAGGGAAAGCAGTAGAAGAAGAAGAAAGAAAGAAAGAAGGAGAATAAGAAAGAAAGAAAGAAGAAGAAGAAGATGTACATCAGCAAAGACCAATCATAATTCCCCTTCTTCTCGCCACTTCCATCTCCTCCTTTTCTCCTCCCCTCTTATTCAGACAATAAATAATAACAAGTGGACCTGCCGCAGCAACGCTGCAGCGAAATGATCGCGGGATTGTGCAGATGTGGAGAATGTCATGCAAAGATTGGGAATATAATGCATTTCATAATTTTCCATGCGTTTTCAACGGAAAAAAAAAAACTCCTCGGGACACGATTACCCCCTTTTCTCGCCTGATCTGCACCTTTGGGGGGCAAAAAAAATGTTAAAAAAAAAATTGCCGTCAGATTGGCACACACACATACACACAGACACACACTGTCAGTCGAAATCTCTCTCTCTCTCTCTCTCTCTCTCTCTCTCTCTCTCTCTCTCTCTCTCTCTCTCTCT